AATGTAAACAGCAATCCATCCAACCAAAGTAAGGTGCTGTGATTAGTCATAGGCATCAAGTCCATCATGAACTACCTCCTACAGAAAAAAAATTTTTTGGAATGTGGAGTCTTAGATATCTAGTGCTGCTATAACAGAAATAACAAAAGCGGATGGCTTTAACAAAGAGAAACTTATTCTCCCACAGTTTAGGAGGCTAGAAGTCCAAATTCGGGTGCCGGCTCTAGGGGAAGGCTTTTTCTCTCTATCAGCTCTGGGGGAAGGTCCTTGTCATTAATCTTTCCCTGGTCTATCAGCTTCTGAGTGCAGGGACCCTGGGTCCAAAGGACACGTTCTGCTCGCGGCTCTTCTTCCTTGGTGGTAGCAGGTCCCTCTCCTTTCTGCTCGCTTCTCTATTCTATGTCTCAAAAGAGATTGACACATGATACAACCTAATCCTATAGACTGAGTCCTGCCTCATTAACATAACTGCCTCTAATTCTGCCTCTTTAACATTAACATCGTAGAGGTTAGGATTTACAACACAAAGGATAATCACATCAGATCACAAAATGGTGGACAACCACACAATACTGGGAATCACGGCCTAGCCAAGTTGACGCACATTTTTGGGGGGCACAATTCAGTCCGTAACATGTGGGATAGCTAAATAGTATGAGAGTTGCGTTGAAAAGACATCTTGGGTTGTACCAAAAAACTAGTATTTGTCTTTAACCCAACTATCTTCTCTTCTCTTGGAGGCAGCTGCTTCAGGCCTCCTCTAGCATGTTCTTCCTTCTACGTGAATGTCACAGCATCTTCTAGAATTCCATCTTAGACATTTGCATTTCTGGATACTCTGCTTTAAACGGCCCTCCTACTGTAATGGTTTCACCTTTCACCTTCCCCTACAATTGTTTTTTTCTCTGAAAAATTTTTTTTAATGAATTATTTTAAACATACAGAGGACAGGAAATAATAAACACTCAAGAGTCTTCCTCCCTACCTTTCTGCTCCCCTCCCTTTCTCCTTTTCTGCTATCTTCCTATAGGCACCCCACCCCCATGAACTGGTCTCAGTTTCCTATAGATGGTGAGGTAGGTGCGGAGGGGCCCCGACCTGACTATACACCTACCCCAAAGGTGCAACACACCCACATCCACACACCCCTCCCTCCCCCAACACACACATTGGGGGTGACAATTAGCTGGCTGATTGCAGACATTTAGAAGAGTAGGCAAGGAATTATTACCCTCCAGGTAATTTGAATATGCCTGTCACCTTACTTTTGCACTTTAGATATGTTCTGCCTACAGACTGAACCTATCTTGGCATTTTTGCTTTTGAAACTAGATTTCTTTGCCCAAAATAATCGATAATGAGTGTAATATATCAGAGATGGGCTTCTGCAAGCTCCATGCATACACTCTGTTTAAGTGAGAGAGTACCTTTTCTCTTGAGCCTCCTTTTCGCAATAGATTGAACTACTTTCCAGCTGGCCTCATGAAGCTTCGAAGAGAGGGAGTCAGTGCTAATAGCTGGGTATGACTACAAAGCAGCTTTCCTGACTCCTTTTTGCCTTCTTTTGTCTCCTTATTACCTTGCAAAGCTTCCCACTAGAGAGTTTTACATTGTTTTTTCAAAATACTAACTCTTGCTCATAGACTTCAATCTCCCAATTTTCCCTTGAATTTAATGTCACCAGTTAGGATTTTAAGTTATAGATTATCTTTCTGGAACTGTTTTCAGTATAATTTAGAGTTGAGGATCACTAGGGATACAAATAAAATAGCCTAAAGGTATTTTTAAAAATGTTTCCATTCCCTTTTGATAGGACTGGTAGAATAACAACGAATGGAAATGGTACTGTTTTTCTCACTGCTCCACGTTTGTTTCGGACTACAGGCTCCATTCTGATTTAGGAGTCTTTTCTGCTCAGCATTTCAGTGATAATTCTCCCTATGGTCTGCAGGATCCCTGTTCTCCTTGTTTCTATAGCAACAGTCCTGTGTTGCTTGGCTAGAAGCAGTTTTCTGCTGCTGTGGTGAAGCCCCATTTTTTCATTCCTTTCTTTCTAGTTGCCTTGGTAACAAGCCTCTCCCTCTTCTGATCTTTGGGTGGTAAATTCCAACTCAATTCCTCCTGCCCCCCATTTTTTTTTTTTGTTTCCCTAGTAAGTCACCTGCTCGTGGCTTGGACAGTGCTTTTCTGTCTGTGGGTGAGTGTATTCTGTCATGGTCAGGTTGTCATCATGAAATTGGCCTCTCTTTCCCTTTATTTGCATCATTTCTCTGGCCTGTCATCTTTCTGGTGGTTGTCATGGTAACTGTACCCTCTGAAAGTCTCCAGGCAAAGGCTCTACAGTTAACAACCATCATCTAAGATTGTCTGCCAATGTGTGGCCACATATCTCCATTTTAAACCCAGCCCCAGGGGCGGCTGCCACAAACTGAGAGAACAGAGCTTTTGATCAAAGCAGGCTGAATTGAGAAAAGGACTTTCTCACAGGGGACCCAGGCAACCGGTATTCTCCAAATAATGTATGTGGCTACATGGTTTGGGCTGGGTCTGTAAGAGCCACCATTATGCCAACCTGGGATCCAACTGATAGAGGAATGTATCGGCAGTCATTTCCGGCAGGCCCTTCATATGCTCTAAACTTCCCGTGTGGACTTCTCTGGCACAAGGGGTCCTGATGATATGACCTGAGAGTTAGGCAGAGTCAGGTAATCTCAGAGAGAAAGCAGTTAGGACTCTTAGGTTGGTTAACAAGGGGCTAGCAGAATGGGTATTTAGGCACTTTCACACATTACTGAAAGTTTCTCTGCCCTTAGACCGCTGCTTTTACTTCTTTAGTGAGGCAGATGGGGTATTACTATTATAATAATACAAAATGTTCAACACATGATGGCTATTATGTGCCATGGCATTGTAGCAGGCACTTTCAGACATTACTTCATTTTTGCCACACAGCAATTCTCGGACATATTTAAAGATAAGAAAACTAAGACTAAGAAAACTAGTAAAATGCATGAGGTCACACAGCTGATCAGTGAACCCAGGTCCATCTGATTCCAAAGACCTTTCTTCCCCCCCCCCTTTTATTGTACTTCAGGTGAAGGCTTACAGAACAAATAGTTTCTCATGAAACAGTAGTACACATATTGTTTTATGACATTAGTTAACAACCCCACAACATGTCAACCCTCACCCTTCTCCACTTTTTTTTTTTTTTGGTGAAAATATACATAGCCAAAGATACACCATTTCAAAAATTTCTACATGCACAGTTCAGTGACATCAACTACGTTCTTCCAGTTGTGCTGCTATTCTCACTTTAGATGAAGGTTTACAGAACAAAATAGTTTCTCATTAAATAGTTAGTACACATGTTGCCCTATGACAATGGTTAACAACCCCACTACATGTCAACACTGTCCTTATTCAACCTTGGGTTCCCTATCACCAGCTTTCCTGTCCCCTTCTGCCTTCTAGTCCTTGTCCCTGGACTGCTGTGCCTCATTAGTTCCATTTTGTTTTATGGGGCTGTCCAATCCCCAGCTGAACGGTGAACCCCAGAAGTGACTTCACCACTGAGCTAAAAGGGTGTCCGGGGGCCATACTCTCGGTGTTTCTCCAGTCTCTTTCAGGCCAGTAAATCTGGTCTTTTTTGTGTGTGTTAGAATTTTGTTCTACATCCTTCTCCAGCTCTTGTCCAGAACGCTCTGTTGTGATCCCGGTCAGAGCAGTCAGCGGTGGTAGCTGTGCACCATCTAGCTGTACTGGACTCAGTCTGGTGGAGGCCTTGGTAGCCGTGGTCCATTAGTCCTTTGGACTAATCTTTTCCTTGTTTCCTGTTCTCTTCATTCTCCCTTGCTCCCGAAGGGGTGAGACCAGTGGAGTATTTTAGATGGCTGCTCACAGGCTTTTAAGACCCCAGACACTACCCACCAAGGTAGAATGTAGAACATTGTCTTTATAAACTGTGTTATGCCAATTGAGCTAGATGTTCCCCGAGACTATGGTGATTCCAAAGACCTTTCTTAAAGGTTGTGGAGTCTCCAAAATTTTGGTCTTCTCTGGCCCTAATCTTCCCTGCCCCACTTTAATCTGAGGGTTGCTCCTGCTTTATCCTTTCTGCTTTCCTTTTTTTCCCTCTTTATATTTTGTGGGTTGTTTGTTTGTCTCTGTTCTCACCCCATCTCTTGCATCCCTTGGCCAAGGAGTCGGAAATTCTTGTCCTGCCTTTTGACTGCTTCTGAGTTTGTGTTCTGAGATGAAAACAGCAGCCGCCCTTGCCTGAGAGCTGGGCAGACCTGATCCTAGAAAACACCACACTTCTGAGCTCACTGGCTCCAGGACTAGATAGGCAAGCCATTCCCCTCTGTATATAACAATTAATTGGGTGTCTGTTAGGTATCAAAGGAGCCCTGGTGGCACAGTGGTTAAAGCGCTCAGCTGCCAACCAAAAGATTGGTGGTTTGAACCTATCAGCTCCGCAGGAGAAAGATGTGGAAGTCTGCTTCCTTAAAGATTTACAGCCTTGGAAACCCTATGGGGGCAGTTCTACGCTGTCCTATAGGGTCGCTATCGGTCGGAATTGACTCCACGGCTGTGGGCTTGGGGTTTGGGATATTCAGTACCAGGTACTGTGCTAGGTACTGCAGATACCTATGACCTAGACAAACTTTGTGCCTTGCCTTTATGGAACCAATAGCCTGGAGTAGAAGTCGAACAATAAACAAGAGGCCAATTCATTAATGCTATGAATAAAAAAAACTAGGTGCTTGAAAGAAAGAATAATAGGGACAGATGTATTTTAGATGGGGCTGCCATCCTCCATTTAACAGAGAAGATAGTTGAGGCTCCGGCACCAATTATTAATCACAGTAACTTTGAGGACCTCTTAACATTGGAGACCTATCCCTCCACATCCTCCCTACAGAGCCCTGAGTCCACGCAGGCGCACTGACGGTTGCCATGGGAACAGCTGCTTTTGCGCAAGCGCAGAAGTATTCAAGATGGCGGCGGTGGCGGCCTCACGAACTGTTTCTGTGGGTTCTGGTCTGCGGGGCCTGCGACGGACACTGCCTCTTGTAGTGATTCTTGGGGCCACCGGCACCGGCAAATCTACCCTGGCGTTGCAGCTAGGTCAGCGGCTCGGTGGCGAGATCGTCAGCGCTGACTCCATGCAGGTATGGTAGTGCGGCTGGCGCCGGGCCTATGAACCCGGAGGCCGCGTGCAGGCCTCTGTCCAGGTTAATTCTCTGTCGCGTGGGTGTGATGAGGGAACCCCGAGGCTTGTGAGGGCGAAGGGGGCAGGTGAAAGGAACCCATAATGACTGGGTGCCCTCCATATGCCAGATAAAGTGCTGGGTGTTTCACATTTATCATCTCATTTACTTCTCAAGACATTACTGTTTGGCAGGTACTTTTATTATCTTCGAGGAGCCCTGGTGGCGCAGTGGTTAAGTGCTGGGCTGGTAACCGAAGGTCGGCTATTTGAAGCCACCGGCCGCTCCGCAGGAGAAAGTTGTGGCAGTCTGCTTCTATAAAGATTACAGCCTTGAAAACAATATGGGGCAGTTCTCCTCCGTTCTGCAGGGTCGCTATGAGTCGGAATCGACTCCACGGCAGTGGGTTTGGTTGTTATTATCCTCATTTATGGATGAGGGAATTGGGGCCTAGGGACATGAAATGACTTTCTTCGTGTCACATAGCGAATAAGTGAGAGACCGTATTTTAACCTAGATTTGCCCGAAGCCTAATGCAAGGCTGGCATATAGGCGTGCAATAAATATCTTGAATGAAAATTATTCTAGAGCTTTTACTATTTAGAATGATCCAGCGAGACTAGGGTAAATTGTTTACCATCTCTGAGTGTCTGCTGGTGAGTGGAATAGGGTGGATATTCAGGAGACCTGGATTCTAGTCCCAAATCTGCCGTTGGCCATGTGACCTCAGGTTAATAATTTCGTTATTTTTTAATCTGTAAAGAAAATGCTGCCTACCTCACAGAGCTGTAGTGCTTAATAAATGGATCATGATTGTTAGAGTGAAGAGCAAGGTCGCCTGGCCTGTGGAAGACCAGGCCCTTGGTAAATGCTTGTTGAAACTGAGGTTTTTAACCCTACTAGTTTGATCAGAGTTGAGGGAGACTATGTCCTTTTCTTTGAGCCAGAGAGAGACCCAGAAGAGGTATAGTACTCATCACCCCTGGGGGCATTTGTGCTGGACTGAGAGTGGTAAATCTCTGGGTAAATTTGGGATAAATGTCTGATGGAAGAATTGCTACAGCTATTTGTTGAAGAGAATTGGAAGTTATGAATGTTCACAGGGTAAATAAGATGCTAGAAATGAAATGCCTGGTACTCAACCCAGCAAAGAGTCCTTGCCCCTACTCCACCCTATAAACGCCCTGGTATGGCTTGTCATTTGGAGTGACAATACCATCAATACACATGAAATGATTAGGATAATTTCAACGAATACTTGTTCAGAACCTACTTTATGCCAGCTTCAGGAGACAGACTTTGGCTCAAATCTCAGCCCTGTCTTTTCCAAGATATGTGACTTAAGCCAGACTTCTTTGTGCACTTATTTTTTCTTCTATAAAACAGGAAGAATATTATCAATGACACAACATTATTGTGATGATTCGATAATATAAAGTATGTTAAAAAAAACAGTTGCTGTTGAGTTGATTCTAACTCACGGTGACCCCATGTGTGTCAGAGTACAGTTGTGCTCCATTGGGTTTCAAGGGCTGATTTTTTTGGGGGTAGATCTCCAGGCCTTTCTTCCGAGGTGCCTCTGGGTGGATACAATACAATATATGGCAGAGTAAATGCTAAAAATATGGTAGCTGCTATTTTCTGTATGGCCCTGTGGGACAGAGAAAACCATAATCCCTGTCCTCAAGGAGTTTTAGTTCAGCTAATTATGAAACAAGGCAGAGTTAGTAATTGTGAGTGGAGATATTAATGGTGCTTTGCAGGGTGGAGGGGTTGGGGAAGAGAGATTGCAAGTGCTAGATTTTATGACAAACTATTAAGTACAGTAGAATTCTGGAAAGGGAGAAATCAGGGAAGGCTGACATAGTCATGGACAGCTCTGAAAAAAGGCTTGAAAGATAGGTGAAGTGTGGATAGATAAAAAAGAAGGGAAGACATATAAAAAAAAGGAACATGAATGAAGATTTGGTGAAATGAGCTTAGTCTGTATGGAGGACAGTGAAAAGAGACTTCAATAGAGAGCTATTGTAGATATTGTAGAGTAGGGGATGAGTAACATGATGAAGGCAGTGTGTAATGAGCATTCATCTGTGAGCAGTATGCATTATGACTGGATTGGGGGAGTGGGAAGGGAAGACAGACAACCTAAGTATGGACAGGTATTTGAGTAATATGGCCTTCAGTAAGGTGGAATTACACTGATGATATCAAAGGTCCATACCAGTCTTAATGTTCTATAATTTCTATAATTCTGGGTTGGTGTGGTGTTAATGGGAATGGTAGGGAAGAGGAATATGTAACATTTTCAAGGTATTATGTTACAGTATGAGTTGGTCACTGGAGAAAGGAGAATAATGCACACAAAGTGATTCAGGATTCAGGTTTAGGTGCCTGGGAGAGTATGGTGAACGTGGAAGTCAGAGAGATCTGACTGAAGGCGCAGCAGGAGTGGCAACAGGACATCCAAGTGGAAGTCTAGTGGATGTATGGAGAACACAGCAGGCGTGATCCCACTCAGGACTCTTACACTTGTTCCTCTGCTTGGAACATATTGCCCCTGCATACCATGTAGCCCGCTCCTTCTCTTTGTCCTGGTCTTTGCTTAGATGTAACGTTATAGAGGCCGTCTCTGACCATTGTATTTAAAATAACACACATTGCTTCCCTGTCCTCTCTACACACATCCCACACATAGTCCCTGTAAGGAAAATGTTCTCAATAAATCATCTTAATTTTACATCTATTTATAAGTAAGTTAGTGGGTTCTGGCGATGAGGGTTGAGTATAGCTCTGTAATAGCTATTATCTAGTTCCCAGAAATATTTCTTTACTTCTGGGCTTATAGCTGTGTACCATAAGGTTGAGGTTGCTAGAGGTCTTGCTGGCTGCCGTTTATCAGTGGGATACTTTGTGCCTCGTATAGCACTGATGGTACAGTAGATCCTCAATATTTGATAAACTTATTTGTTTTTGAACTGCCTTATTAAAATGGCACATCTCAACCTGTTTAGATTCTTCCTGTGATTGTAAGTAACTAGAATATGAAAATTAAATTCGTTCATCCTAAGATGCCATGAGGATTGATTAATATATGAAAAACACTTTGAAGATTGTTGAGCTTTCTAAACTGGCTATAAGCTGTGTTTAATGTTGATTATACTTTGGATATTCATAACATTTCCTCTTGGTCTCCATTGGAAAACTTTGACCTTTAATTTTACTTTTCAGCCCAAATATGAAAGAAAGCCTCGTTGCTCCATTTACTGTGGGTATACACAATTCTTCATTTCTGCCCTTGCTCCTCATCCTGTCCTGGGGTAGTGCTGCTCTGTTTGTTTTTTAGCCATTGGAAGGATATGGTGCTTTTCAGTGGTTTGAGGGGGACTCAAAAAATACTTCAAAAGTAGGTGAACAAAATGACATTCTTGATGTTGGATCACCAACTCCTTGAGAGAATATTTTGAATTTTGCGTAAGTCCACGGGTAGAATATATAACTTAAATTTGTATAGCACAGTTGAGAAAATGCTTATATGTGCTTTTTTATCCTCAAGGTACTGTATTTTATGCAAATAATGCACGTCTTTTACGTTTGTTTCCCAACCGCACCCTCCCCCCGGAGAGGTATTTTTGTAAGCATGCTATGCTAATTTTTTACAGCAACATGTAAAAAAAATTGGCATAACAGCACTTATAAAAATATCTCGCCGGGGTGGGGGAGGGCATGGTTGGCAAACATAGGAGGTGCACGTTATTTGCGTAAAAATACGGAAACTTCATAAGGTAGATAGATTTCATAGGTAAAGAAACAGACACACGGTCTCACAGTAAGTAGCTGGCCTGGAATTAGACATAGGTCTCTACTTTCCATGCCCAGTGCCCTCCACACAAAGCCATCCCCTTGAGATGAGGCAGGAGCTGTGGGATTCAATCATGAGAGTGGTTCAACTTGTATGCCACTCGTCCTTCATGGGAGTGTACTACATTTTGATCAGGATGTAAAATGTGAGATTCGTATTGTTATAGTGATGTCTGTCAGGTAGAGTGCTGAGTTGAGTGGCCACATGATGCATTGTTTAGGGGGATAAAACTTGCTGCAGCTCAGAGGTATAATTTAATGTCAAGTTGGTACCAGAGAGAGAGAGCATGTTTACTGGAATAAAGGGAAACTTGGCCTGGTGGAGAGCCTAGAAAGAGCAGTAAACTTCTCTGTTGTAAACAATCACACAGACCAAAGGGTGACCAAATGGAAAGTGTGATAATTAGGGAGTTTTTTCAAGTTTCCAAATTGAACTTTGTAAAAACCAATATTTGCATTTTAATAACCCTTTTTGGTGTGCTGCCTAGAATTTTATATTAGAAGTGTGCCAGTAACTCAGAAAGGATTGTAAACTGCCTTAAATCTTAAAATGTCTTGTATCTCTTACTTCTCTTGTCACCCCTTTGTCCTACCTTAGCTGTAGCGTCATCCCAAAGCAGCCCCTACCAGACAGGTCCCATCAAGGGAAAATACTTGTTTTTGTAAACCTTGAATGAGTGCTTTAAGTATTGAGGTAGCTTCTTTGAGGTAAAACCATAATGGGGTGTTTAAAGGTAGTGTGTCTAGGGTGATAATGTCATCATGGATCCTGTTATATAATGACTTGCTTCTATAGCCTCCTAGTGTCTGAAGGTCCTGCCTGTCCTCTTGCTTCCCATTATTCTTATGTATGTGGTTTGTTGAGTGGGAAGTCAAACTGCTTTCTGAGGGATTACTTGTGTAGGGGCTCCTGCAGGGCTGGACTGTGGATTTCTGCATGGCAGGTCTGACAAAAGTGAGAAACAACATTTGTGCTTACTTTTCTGAGTTTTCCAAACCCCAGTTTTTCACAAATTATAGAAACATAAATATTTTCATTCTGCAGCTAAGAGTGAATTCAAGGAGGTACAGGTAATACAATCCCTGTTTTCCAGGATGGAAAA